AACTGTATCATGGATTCTGGTTTGGGTCCGGGTCAGCTCCCTTTTTTTTTTAGATTTTAATTTCATGGAATATTTGACGGCGCCGTTCTAACTCATTTTTTTTTATTTTTAATTGTTCAGGGTATGCGCCAGTACAGCTATGCCTTGAATACAAAATCGCGCCACTATAAGGATCTCAGCATACTGGCCAAGGAGCCGGCATTTCGCAATGCTACAACAGTTTATCCCGTGCAGACGCCGGAGGATTTCTATCGCCTGCACGCCTACTATTCCAAGGTAAGTACTCGATGTAATTCTAATGTATATATTCAGTAATAAATTCCGTTAGCTATTCAAAATGTTTTGCATACAACATGTGTTCCCATAACCGTACAAAGCCACCGCGTCCTGTTATGGGAGCTTTTACAGTCAAACAACCATACAGATACTTGTTTATTACATTTTTATAAACGGGTATTAACATAGAGCAGTTAACCGTTCACTGTTAACTACATAGCTTGCATTCAAAGGTGAAAGAAAGGAGGAGGCAAAACGTATGTGGTAAAAATGAAACAGAAAACTCCATAAAGAGAGCTAAAACTTAACGAAAGAAAAGAAACTGGATAAATCCCATGTTTAACCATGTTGCTTACATTAAAATAAATGTATAATAACATTGAGCTGTTAAGTGCTTGGAGACGGAATAGGAACGGAATAACGATAACAGTATAATTAATATATAGAATAAGTATAAACAAACGTAAAGTTCGCTAATAAAAACAAAAATTGAATCTGAAAACAAAATGACAAATTCAATTAATTATTATGAATTATTGTTTATTGATTTACATTACAATCGCGATAACATTTGCATGTCAAGATGCATAACATGGCACTGTTAAGCGTGTGCAGTGTCCGTTAAGAACTGTTAAAACGATAAAAATTTAAATGTTCGTTTCTTGTTTTGCGATTACAGCACCATCTGGAGCTGGTGCAGCAGCGCGGCTATGCGCTGGAACAGAAATCGTATCGGATTGCCAACGGCAGCATCTCCAACAAAATACTCGAAATCCGTTGGCCATTGGGCGTGCCGCCGCCCAGTGCGCCAGAGACGCGCCACGATATGCTCACCTGGCAGCTGCTGAATGGAACACACAGTTTTCTGCCGAACGCCAATGCGGATCGTGCGGTGGCGCCGCTCAGCCGCATCGAGGCACTGGACTTTGCCAAGGTGCTGGATATAGCGCTGCAGTATACCGCCCAGAAGTACCCGAAGCTGCGTTACCAGGATCTGCACAGCGCCTATCGCAAATTCGATGCGACGCGCGGCATGGACTATCAACTGCATCTGAATCTGTACGAGGGTGCCACACCACCCAAGCGTCTGCTGCTCAAAAGCTTTGAGGTGGTCAAGCCACTGGGTCGGATCGAGGTGGTCCCATCGCCCTATGTCACGGAGAGCACACGGATTGCGATCCTCGTGCCGGCATTTGAGCATCAGGTGACCGATGCTCTCGATTTTGTGGCACAATACGAGCGCGTCTGCATGGCCAACCAGGACAATACCTTCCTGCTGCTGGTGAGTGCAATCGATTGCCGGCTAGTCGGTCACTCTTGGCTCTCGTACTCATATGTAGTATATTTAAATTTTCAGATATTTCTCTATCGCTTCGACTCGCCCAGCAAGGGCGACGATGATCCCTTCAAGACTCTGAAGAAGTTGGCCTTGGATTTATCCACCAAATACAAGACGGATGGCTCACGCATTGCCTGGGTGTCCATACGGCTGCCGGAGCAGCTGAGTGCACCAATTAAGCCAGACGATTGGCTGCTGCACGCCTCCATGTACGGTAGCCAGCAGTTGCTCAGCCTGGCCGTTGCGGATCTGGCGCTGCCCAAGCTGGGGCTCGAGTCGCTGGTGCTGCTGGCACCGCCGGGCATGCTCTTTCGCACGGATTTCCTCAATCGTGTGCGCATGAACACCATCCAGGGCTTTCAGGTCTATGCGCCCATCGGCTTTCAGCTGTATCCCTGCAGCTGGGCGCATTTCTGCAAGGAGTGCGACACCTGCGACATTAGCCAGAGCAGCGGCTACTTTGATCGCCAGAATCACGATGTCATCGCCTTCTACAGTCGCGACTATGTACAGGGTAAAAATCCAACCCCCCTCCCCCCCCCCCCCCCCCTGTTCGATCTATGGCGTTAACTCATTTGGGCGTTGGCCTGTTTTTGTTTGCAGCTCGCAAACTGTTGGATCCCCTGGGTCTGCCCATAATGCGCAGCGATCTGGACATTGAGCAGCTGCTGCTGCAGGCACCGCAACGTCCCGCCGGCGTCGAGAGCATCCTGGACATGTTTGTTGCCGCACAGCATACGGTGCACATATTGCGCGCCGTTGAGCCACATCTGCGCTTCGGCCTGGCGGTCCGGAGTCATTTGGCGCGCGGCGGTTCGCTGCCGCCGACGTTGCCCCCGGATGGGTGTGGCCGGCAGCAGTGCATCCATTTGGCGTCGCGCAAACAAATCGGAGATGCAATCATACGCTACGAGGATAAAAGTATTCTGCAAAAGTAGGCAGCTGCAGCTGCAGCTGTTATACTGTTATACATTATAGAGATATCATCAGTTCCTTGCTAAACATACATACATATATATATCTATATATGTTGCCAAGAGTGTGCGTGTGCGTGTGCGTGTATTGATGTGTGTGTGTGGGTGTGTGTGTGCGATTAGTTTTAAACAATTTTTGTTGGTTTTCTCCTTTTTTTATTGTTTGTAAATGCCTTGCTTTAAAGTGAAACTTTTAATGCTCAAAATGGTAGACAAGAATTGTTATATAATTAGTGCTCAAACGGGGGATGGGGGAGGGGGGGGCTTTATTGGGTTTGGTTGGGCGGGGTGGGTGGGTATATGAGAGGGGGAGCAGGAGGGGGACTTGTTGCTGCCAACTAGTTTGCTTAAGCTTAAGCATATACTATACATATAAATTATTAACTATATCGAAAGTAGTCTGTAAGCTGCCTAGCAAGTGTGTTGTATAACAGTTGTATAACAGTCAAACAACAGCCAAGAAATTAGCCAATATTCCAGTTCCAATATAGCTTGTCATTTGCCGCTCTCATTTAGCCAATATATACATACATACATATATAAATAATTTATTAATCTATAAACATAAGCATGTAATTATAACTTGCCGCAAATTCCTATATATACTTTTATATTTAGTGCATAGCTAAGTGTTATACTGTGTATGTATATATACACACACATATATATATATATATGTAATATTATATATCACTAAGTTTAACAAGTGGCTGTTAAAGTAAATTCCAATCTGAACTGCAAATATGCCGACTTTGCCAAAATGAATGTGGCCAAAATCTTGCCTCACCTCAACTGTTATAATCGTACAACAACAACATGTGCAACATTTATAAACATTTTGCAGTTTCTAGTATTTAGGCAAATATTGTAAACTGTTATAAATATGACACTATTCCAAAAAGCACGCATGTCTATGAATATACTATTGTCTACTTGTTAACTGTTATATTGAGTTCAATTGTTAACAAAAACACGAACGCTGTTATACAATTATTTACAATTATATAAAATAATTTAGTAATTTCAGACAAGTATCGCAAAAATTAATTGAAAACTGTTATATAAATTACTAGCCAGCGTGGAGATTATACTATTTGCAACGATTTCTGTTAAAAATTTAAGATGATATAGCATGTTATACAATTTCTAACTGTTATACTGTTGAGTTCTGCTCTACTTGATATAAAAACAAACGCTGTTATTAAAAATTTAGTAACAATTACTGTTATACATGTAACAACTGTTATACAAATGCCAAGATCTAGTATACTGGATACGTTACGATTCCTGCTGAAATCCATATGAAAGCGCATGCTATTGTGTCACTGTTATACAAGTGCCAACTGTTATACAAAACAAAAAATATAGTATTTAGAGTTCGAATAAGTAGCCTGCCAGTTATTTGTTTCAATATGAAAGCCATTTTGTACCGCATTTTGCATTTCGTTTGGCATATCATTTATTGCGTCAAGAACTTTTATTCAAATTCAAATTAGGGCGTGAAAAATAAAATAAAAATACACAAATTTTTTTATATATTAATCAAGTTCGATAAACGCTCTGGAAATTTGTAATGAAAGAAATTACATCGAACCCCCCTCAAGATCAAAATTCAACTCATTTTGAGCCAAGAGAAAGACTGTACCAAAATATATATGCATAAAATCAGACTTGAGGCAATTCCATAGAACTGGACAGCTGTTGATCATGTTAATTAAACTGATCAATACGATCTAACGTTCCTAATGTATGATATATATATTGAAATACGATCGTCTAATTCGCAACGTGAAGGGAAACTCAGTGCATACAGCATGAGCCGTATAGTATATATTTGCAGGAATATATTTTCGAATCGTTTCTTCATCATTAAACAATCTTCTAACTTGCCTTCTCGAGACTTGTAATCTAGCTAAATCTGGACTAACTCTGGATCCGTGCGTCCAGTAAAAACTATTTTGCGGGCTTTTAAGTCCACGATTACTAACCATATCACACGGAGATCGCAAAGATCGTTATCTAAGAGAATTACTGTGAGGTAAAGTCCAGTGAAGCTGAATTTATTTTACCTTACTCTCAATATTACGAGTTTTAACGGCGTGTTCTTTCAAAGGAGTCGTTCTAGCATATTTCCGGAAAAGCACAAGCCATCGTTTCCGTCTTCATAGAAGTCGAAAGAGTCATACTTAGGCAATTTATTACCCTGTTCAAACTTTGATTTATCTTATTCCATTCTAGCAAATGGATATCCATAGGAAACATTGTGCCATGCTCAAGGTAATTGTTTGTACATAGTTGATAACAATATGTATTGCATACTAAATGATGTTTAGTCCATGTTTTTACCATGATATAGCCCATGGTTTAATACACATAAGATCTATCCCGAACATGCCGATTACATATATAAATATATATATATAGTTGTTTTATAGAGCAATGCTAAATTGTTGTACAATATATCGTATGCTTGTATGCCTTGAAGTAAATGTATTTTGTATATGTAGATCGGTCTCAGGGTTGCAGCAGGAAACTAAGATCAGACTGAGGAGCATACTCGACGGCCGTGCCATCTCTGTGGAATGAACATGGATCAATAAATGTGTGTCAGGCAGATGCAGATGGGATCAGAACTTACGGCTTGAAGAGCTTCGCATTGCGTTCGCCCAGGAGCGTTGCCTGATCGCCTTGGACGCGCACGCTGGTGCCCTCGCGCAGCCCGAGCACGGGCCGCTCATGGTAGCTGACAAACTCGGAGATGCGTTCGTCGCGCGTCTCGCCCTTGTGCTGGCTATTCGCCTCCGTTTCCAGGTAGTGCGGATTGATGTTGAATGGCACCAGTGCCAGGGCCTCAAAGCTGGGCGGCTGCAGCACGGGCATATCGTTGGTGGTGTGTATGGAGCGCGTGGCCACGTTGGTGCCGGCACTGCTGCCCACATAGGTGAGGCCCTGCTGCAGCACCAGTTCGCGTATCAGCTCCACCAGCTGCAGATCGTACAGCTGCTTCAGCAGCACAAACGTATTGCCGCCGCCCACGAATATGGCCTGTGCCTCGCGCAGCGCCCGCCCCAGATCCGGTTTCGTGTGCAGACCCTCGACAGCATAGCCCCAGGGCTGCAGTGCATCGCGCACCGTTGCCGTGTACTTGTCATGATCCCGTTGGGCATACGGCACAAACAGCACCGTTTTGACGTTCTTGCTGTGCATAAAGGAACCGCGTGCAATTGTATACATATATATAATATACATACATCTACATAAATGCAAGACTTACGCCTGAAACAGATCTTCCAGCTGGGCGCGTGCATGCTCCAAAAAGCCATGTCCATGCAGGCGCGACGATGAGAGCAACAGCAAATTACGCGTTCCGCTCTTCATTTTTATTTTTGTAATTTTCTTTAATTGTTGCCCAGGTGTTTTTCTTTTTGCTTTCAAGTTGTGCCAATGCCAACTGCTGCAACTCTGCTCTGTTACTGAGCTGATTATCTTTGGTTTCACAAGTACATTTATGGCCGCCGATAAAGCAAAACAATAAAACTCTCTGCAATTGCCCTGCTCATATACTCCCAGCTCAACAGTTGAAAAGAAACAAAGAACAGTTCAGAGTATCGATATATCGATTGTTGAGCTCGTGAGCGTTATCGGTAACTTTTAATGGCTTGTATTTAATTATGTACTCAATTATTTCAAGTGCCGCTGTCGGAAATGAAATGCTCGTTTAAAACTAAGCGTAGTGGACTCAAACTTCGACTTATTTCAACGGTATTTATATTAAACAATATATCGATTGTTGTCGATCGCGTGCACGATACTTTCAATTTCAATTTGAATACTTTCCGACTGAATATAAGTAGCCGTTATATTTGAATATTTTCCCAATAGAAATCTATTGAGTAACATATTAAGATATCTTTTAAATATTTGTCACTCTGCCCTGATTCTTTCATAATGCAAACTTGTTGAATAATTAAAAAGCAAATTTCGGGCAGCTATTTTATGGTTTTATTCAATACGTTTTTTAAGAACTTTACAAGCCACAGTGGAAACGATTATCTATTCATTTGTTTAACATGCTTGCAATTTATTCTGTTCAATTATTTTGCTTAAAATGAATTATGTATGTAAACGTATGTATGTATGTATATCTATGTAATTGACAGCCGTGTCTCAATTCTATGTTCCAAGTAATAATTGACACCCACGCACACGCACACACATACATTCAAGCATTCTTACATTGTTTGAATAATTGAAAAATGTTAAGTTTGCAATGCATACATACGTTTCGTATATGGTGTGCTTAATAATGCATATGTATCTGTGTTGTATGTATAAGTATATAGGCAGACATATGGATGCATATGCATATATATATGGATGCATATGCATATATATATATATATATACATATATATATGGATGCCTATGTATATATTAATAAAGCATTTTTTTTCGATTTAGATTAGAATTGAATTCTAGTTAGACCCAATGCACACTTTTCAGTTGGGGCTTATCAAAGATTACATTCTTATAACTATAAAAAATTTTTAGTTTTTTTTTCTTTCATTTTTTTTTTTTTTTGCTTCATTTTACAGTGAGTTTATATTAAGGTATATGCGTATAAGTTAATTATTAGAAAAAAAAAAAAAAAACATAAATCAACAAATAATTACACAACATTAATTAGCTATTTCACGTATATTTGTTAACAATTTACATAATTTGCTTGGCGATTTCTGATGCGTTTTTAATTAGTTTTTTTTTTATTTGTTTTTGTTTTTGTTTTTTGGTGGCATGTTGCACGTGGCACGCTGCAGTTAAACGGCATTTAGCTTGATTCTTTTAAGTAGATTTTTGTGGTTTTTTCTAGAAGTTGAACATAGTACAGTTTGACAGCAACTAGCTGGGCTGCCAAGGCTGAGGCACAGTTTGGTTTTTGTTTTTATAGATTTTTGCCTATTGTGAATCGCATTTTGTTTTCTTTCATTTCATTTTCACGTTTCGATCACTTGAGCGCTGCAAATGCGAGAAATTACCTTGCAGTTTATGTGTAAAACGGCACGTAGTATATATATATATATATACATACATATATGCAATATATATATATATATAATATAGTAGATTGTATGTATGTATGCATGATTGATTTGATTTCGTACTTAACCTAACAATTTGTTTCTTTTGCAATTCTCTTGCTCCACATACATACATACACACACACACATGCACAGTGGAAGAAAGAGAGAGACACACACAGACAGACAGACACGCACGCACACACACACAAACACACATGCACATGCACACACACACACATACAGAAATGCATGTAGAAGACGGCGGCAATTTACATTTTGAATCCGTACACATTTGAGTACACAACACGTTGATAATCGATTTGGCTCCTACTGCGATGGCTGCTCATCGGGCAGATCCAATATCCTGGCCACAAACTCCGAAATGTCCGTATTGCGCTGTAAATGCTCCACAATGAATCCGTGCCGCAGCAGCTGCTCGTAGTTGGGTCGCGCCGTGTACTCCTTCTTCAAGCATGTCGCTATAAAGTCCTCGAACTCGGCGGAGAATGAGCCCGCCGGCAGCCTTGGCGGATCGTCCTCAACCACCTGTGGTGCAGTGAAGCGCATAAGTCTATTTCTATGCCAAACGTATCTCGCTCTGTGCTCACCTGACGCAGCTGCTCGAAGGGCGTCCGCCATTTATTGTAGGGATACTGGCCGGTGGCCATTTCAATCATGCTAATGCCCAGCGACCAGACATCGGAGCGTATATCATATTGGGCTGGATTACCTTGCGGATCGATGCGTTCCGGCGCCATATAGGGCTTGCAGCCGGCATCTATAGTCTTGGCCACGGAATCAACTAGATAGCCTGCAGGAGGAGAACAATACAATGGATTAATTCCACTTGAAATGCATGTAAATGGAACGCAGTTTGAAGGAAATGCTGCAGAATGGAATTCTGCTAAGAATGTTACAATTCTTATTTCATTTTCATATATTCCTACGAATCAACAATTAAAAGGGTTTTAAGGGAACGAAACGGAATGGAACGTCGCAAATCAAAACAGTTAAAACAAATTTTGAAGTGATATAGATTGGAATACATCAGGTTATTAATTTCTTGTCATATAATCGAAATCGAAGGGAACGAAATGGAATGGAATGGAATCATCTCGGGTTTCCTTCCGAAAAGTGCGCCATATTCAGAGCAAATGCTAAAATTGAGTTTATGTACAGTTAACAGCGCTCACCTGAGATGCCAAAATCGCATATTTTTACCTGACCGCTGCGATTGATCAGTATATTTGATGGCTTTACATCACGATGTATGACCTTTAGCTGGGCGTGCAGGTAATGCAACGCGCTGACCACGCTCATCGCAATCTGCCAAACGGTTAACAATTAGATAGAATAAATGTAATAAATTTTGCATCCATTGTTCACCTTGCCGAGCACCGTCTCCTCCATGGTTAGCTGATTTTTAAACACTTTCGGATAGAATTTGTCCAGACTGGTGTTCATCACCTCCATGCATATCCAGACGTCGCCCTCGCGGTACATGGCGCCATAGAAGTGGACCGTATATGGGCAATCGCTGGATCGCATCGATATGTCCAGATCCATAATCAGGCGCTGCTGTTCCCGGAAGTTAACAGTCATTGGGATGCGCTTGACGGCGAGCACTGTGCCCGTCTGGCGATGCCGCATCTTCTCAACAATGCCATAGGCGCCGCGGCCCAAATCGCAGATCTTCTCCAGGCTATCGGCATCAATGTCAAATGTTTGATCTCCAATTTGTATGGTTGCCCGCGAGTCCAGATTGCGCGGCGGCACGCTGTTAACACAATTAACAGAATGTTAAAAACAGTTCCTAATGGTTGCATGACACTTGCTGGCTGTTCGTTTTGCTTTTGCCATTGGTTGGAGCGAGACAACAGCATTAACATGGCAAAGGGTATGTTGTAAGTGTGGTTCTGTTATTTTTCTTTCTGTTAAGATTAACGAGGTGGAGTATGCAAATGTATGACATTCCCGTTATATTCATATATATTTCGGACAGTTTCCTTCGACAGACCTTTTCTTTTACAGTTTTATTTCTGTCAATCCCAACAAAATTAGACCAATAATTGAACCTAACGGTAACAATTAATAATGTGATAAATAAAATTGTTGCTGTTTAATGATTTAGCTAGGGATTAGCTAGCTATTGGTGCAATTGGTTTGTTAGGGTATACAATATTCGGCATGCCAAATACAGCTGTGGGCTTTGGCGTTCATCGAACCAGTTCAATCTATAAGCAGAGACATTCACAAACACACACGAAAACAAAACGCTTTTGCCCAAAATTTTATAACAGATTGTTCTGGCACTCTTCGCACACTTTAGCTAGGTTCTGTGCACTCACTCATTCATACACACACACACACGCGCACAGGCCGAGGCAGAAGCAAAACGAACAAGTGTCATAATGTCATAACCCCAATGCACTTACAATGCCGGTTCCGGCTCACGCGAAATGCCAATGGGTGTGAGGCGCGGACGTGGTCGTGACATTGCGGCGCTGCGCTCTGTAGTTTTAATACGTGTATGTATGTGTGTGTGTCTGTGTGTATGTATATGTATAAGTCGGCGGGTGTATGTGCGTCTGCGTCTTTGGCGGCCTGCACTTGCACTTCTTTAACTCTTCACGCGTTTTGCGCTGCACGTTTCGCCTGGTAACTGAAATTATTTGCTCCACTTTTAGTTGGGGCCGCTATTGGATACTTTTATTGCTGCTGCTGTTGTGTGGGTTTTTTTTTTTGAGTCGGCGTCGACAAAAACAACAACGACGGCGACGTCGATGAAGCGGCGACGGCGGCGGCGGCTGCTGCTCTTGCTATTTTTACCACATTTGGTCAAATCGTGTTGTGGATATGTATGCCTGCTGCGCATTCGATTGTGCGAATCGGAAAAAAAAATGCTGTCGAAATGCCGCGCTCTGTACGGTTCTGGCGGTTTTTGGGCTTTACTTTTCTTTGATATATTTTTTCTTTTTTCACCCAACACTCGCGCACAACTCGTCCTCGTTGAAAACAATACAGTGGGATAATCGCAGTGTTGCCAACTCAGCCGTTTCCTGCTCGTTTTTTAATCACACATAATATGCTGGTATTTTCTATGGTCACACTGGCTTACGTTTGTCCTTGAGCAGAGAAATTCGTGATCTGATTGTGGCAAAATATCAATTGATTGCCAATCAGCTTGATATTAAAAAACGTGCATTATTATGCTTTTTATTTTGCTGAATGTACAAAGCAAACACGAGCAAAGAGTAACACACAAAAACATAACAATTTTACCACAAAAACGTCCGATATATCGATATTTTCACAATTCATCGATGCCAGCTGGTTGGTGGCTCAGTGTATTTGCGCGATAGAGGCAGATGGTCACACTGTACACACTATCTTCTTGTTGGTGGTGGACTATTTCACATTGTTTTTTAGGATGTGCATTTGCGAACTAGCCAGCAAATACAGCAAAGTTAAAGTGTAATGCAAAAGTGCAAGTGTTCGCGCCAGCCAGCAACAATTATAAGTATACGCCGAAGTAACGCTCGAGTGCAAAGCGAACGCCTACAAAAATAACGAGTGCTGCATCAAAAAAAAAAAAGGAAAAGAATCGCGAGCTGTATTTGTTGTTGTTGTGCTGTGTGGCTGAGTGCGTGCGTGCGTTTGTTCGTTCGTGCGTTTGTGTCGCTTGTCGTTTCTGTTTTTATTTATTTTTTTTTTGTTTTTTGTTAAATTTGTATTGTGCGGCCTCTGCAAGTGGAAAGTTCACGCGCACGCATACAAGTGCATAAAAAATAGTAAAAGACACACACACGCACACTGTGTGTGTGTGTCAGTGTGTGTGTGTGAGAGTGTGTGTATGTGTGTGGCGGCAGCAGCGCCAACTGCAGCCATAAATACACAACGCCAGGAAAATCGAATTTGAAACAAAAACAACTGAACGAAACAGAAGCAATAAGGGAAGAAGAATACAACAAACACAATAACAGCTGCAACAATGTCCAGCACAATTGAATTTGAGACAATTGGCAGCCGCCTGCAATCGCTGGAGGTTGCGCTGCAGGCGCAAAACGAATCACATGAACAAATCGCCTTATCGAATGCGCGCGACGCCGTCGCGCGTGTCTGGCCCACAACAATAACGGCAGCAGCAACATCAACAACAACAGCAGCAGCAGCAGCAACACCAAATGCTGCAGCGGCCGTTAGAGCCGCCGCAGCAGCTGCTGCAGCAGCAGCGGCAACAGCAGATGCAAGTGTCGCTGCCGCCGCTGCTGCCGCCAACACCGCCACCTCACCCACTAGACCAGCCGCAGTTGGTGCGCTGCCGGCGCCAACGTCGCTGTCGTCAGGCATCTTTGCTGGCGGTGGATTTGCCCCGCCCACCAGGAGTCCGCGCACAACGCCGAGTTTGCCCATACGTAAGTAAAATACTGTTAAAAATCAAATACAAAGGCAGTTCACCATTTGTAGTTGTGTGTGCGTGTGTGTATGTGTGTGCGTTGATAACAAATTGGCGTTTCGATACATACGATAAATGCTCGTTTACTCATGTGCTCATGCACTCACACATACATATGTATTTGCATGTAATGCCCTTAACAAAAGGCCCACGTTATCGATCTCTGCGTTTCGATTGCATAGATAAGCGCACGCTGCGAGCAAAACAAACCAAAAACAACAAACTTGTTTTCGCCAATTGCAGCCGCAGCAGCATCAATACATGCAAACAAACACTAGCTAGCGTCGCTGTCGCTGCTTCCGCTGCTGTTGCTGCCGCTGCCTGCTGCTGCATGCTTTTTGTTCTTGCGCACGTATGTGTGTTTTTTTGTCTTATTCGCATTGTTTCCTATTGGATTTACGTTCGAGTATTTTGTAATCCTTTTGGGTGGGATGAGCAAATGTTATCGATAAATCTAAATTGCATATTGCAATTTATGCAACAAGGTAAAAATAGGATGGTAATTCGAATTTCTAAACAAAATATGGTACTTCCAGATATTGGAATTTTTATATGGAATGTTTTGAATATGAAATAGATTTAATATAAGTGTTATTTACATAGTACATATAAGTGACATTTAATCAATTTAGAAAAAAAAAGTATTTCCATTAGGCTCTACTAATAGTCTCGTATTTCTTAAGATCCAATTCCAATTGGATCGCGACTTCTAGGAAATCAAGCATTAAGTCAAAGCTCATTTGTTAGTGCTTCCAAAGCTTTTTTCCAAATAACTCCAAATGGAGTGTTACCGCTAGCCTTTTGTGCGTTGGAGCACTTGACTGGAGTCCAATTGGACCTTTGAATGCTCTGCACACGTGAGCTTCACTGCAAATTAACGGCAAATGCACTTGCAGCTCTTTTCTTCTCTCCACTCGATCTACAGACGCTCGCCTATTTTGTGCGTTGCTATCTGTGCATGTGTGTGTGTCTATATGTGCATTTACATTTCAGTCTGTCTGTGTGTCGCCGTTGTTGTTGTCGCCGCTTTCATTTGGCATGTTTGTTGTCATTTTTTTTTTTGGCATTTCCGGAGTAATGTCTTGATATGCGTACTTCGCCGCCGCCACCGCAGTCGCTTCGCTGTCGGTTCGCTGTCGCTGTTGCCGTCGCCTGTGTTCGAATTGTTGTTTGTTTTTTTATTCGCTTTTGGTTTCGCGTTTCTTCACCCGCACACAGACACAAACACACGCACTCCTCAAGACATCGACCACGGCGACGGCGAGGGAGACAGCGTGACTCGCGTGAGTTTTGCGGCGATAGCGACGAAATTTGTCTTCGTCTTGCGTTTTGCCAATTCGCGCATTGTTTACAAATAATTTTTATGATTCGCAGTTGTTGTTGCTGTTGCTATTAGTTGTAATATTTCATTTGAATCGGCTGAAAACTAATAACTTATTTACCGCTTACAATAACAATAAAAATAGTCATAATATTAACAATAACAACTCACATAATGCTGCTCACAGTTCGTGGTCAATGTAATGCACAGTGGGACAAGCTCGATTTGTTTTGGGCTTCATTTGCTCTATTCACAAAAGCGGTTGCAGCTCCTCTGATCAGAGTACATTTCTACATTCGCTTACAATATTAAATAAATTGATAAACTAGGAAATACCCTGTGCTTAGTACTGAGGCACTTTTTAAAACAATTCACATAAATGACAAGAAGTAACATTTAGCTTTAGTATGTCGAAAATTACACGCACTTTAGCTAAGTTGTGTATTTCTTTATATATATTTCTTTGGTTTATAAAAATCAATTTCTCTTGCAATTCTCAAATTGCTATTGGTATTACGCTAAAAAAGTGGCAAAAATCTATTTTCAATTATTAAAATCTTATATTTTAATTAAGATAAAAAAACTATGCTTTTTATTTAAATTTTATTTAAATATAAAAAAAGTATATACGTACTTAATTTGGTGTCTACTCGATTCGTTTGATCAAGAAGATATATACATTATGAAGGCACAGATGCCTCCATTTGCCTGTTACATGCATTTGAAGAAGAGCATTATACTCCTTTTATACACTTTTAATGGGTGCAGGCTATAAAAAACTACTTCCGCTAGTAACAAAACTTTTATGGACCTTAGTAGTGCCCCTTCCGATTTCCCACGATGAAAATCCAGGAAATTGATAGCATTGACCTTGACTAGAGAATGCACTCGAAGCAAATGTAGTTTGCGCCAGTGTGCATGGTATTCCTATGCGCACACAGACACACACACACACACACACACGTGAGCGCTTTGTTTGACTAACGGTTATTAGAGGCGAAAACAAATTGTTGAGTGGCAATATTTATTATTATTTATCCGCACATTGCTGAAACTTGAGCCTTATCAACCCACATTCATATGAATTTCGCCCTGTCTATCTCACTCTAACCGCCTCTCCCTATCTGGCTCTCTCTCTCTACCTCTTGCTGTTTAGGTGATTCTGGCTCGACTCGAACGCGCCACATGATGTTGCCACTGACAACACAAGCACATCCCTCGGAAACGGAAACGGACAAGAAGCTGAAGATGATCATGGGCCAAACGGGCAAACTGAACATTAATGGGCGACAGTATCCGACAGATATTCACGATCTGCAGCATCTGGGGGATCTGGGCAACGGGACCAGCGGCAATGTGGTCAAAATGCTGCACGTTTCCAGCAACACAGTCATTGCCGTCAAACAGATGCGTCGCACCGGCAACGCCGAGGAGAATAAACGCATTCTAATGGATCTGGATGTGGTGCTCAAATCGCACGACTGCAAATATATTGTCCAGTGTTTGGGTTGCTTTGTCCGCGATCCGGATGTATGGATCTGCATGGAGCTAATGTCCATGTGCTTTGATAAGCTCCTCAAATTGTCCAAGAAGCCGGTGCCGGAGCCCATACTCGGCAAGGTCACGGTGGCGGTAAGTTAACCCGCTTTTCACTCCATTCCAGCAGCCACAGACAGACAGAAAAGAAAAGAAATGGATAGATAAAGATATTGGATAGATAGAGATATTGGGTAGATAGATAGATAGGTAGATAGATATATAGATAGATAGACAGATAGATAGATATATAGATATATAGATAGATATATAGATAGATAAACAGATAGCGAGATAGATAGATAGATATATATATATAGATAGATAGATAGACAGACAGATAGACAGAAAAGAGATGGATAGATAGAGATATATTATAGATATATTAGATAGATAGATACAGATATTAGATAGAAAGATAGGCAGATAGATAGATAGGTTGATAAATAGGTAGCTAGATAGATAGACAGAAAAGAGATATATAAGATAGATATACAGAGATATTAGAAAGAAAGATAGAGGTATTAGATTAATAGATAGAGATATTATATGTGATATTTGATTTGACAGATATATAGATATAGTAGGTATATATGTTGAGATATTAGATAGATAGATTGAGATATTAGATAGATAGCTAGCGAAATTATATAGATAGATAGATAAAAATATACGATGGATAGGTAGATATATTAGATAGATAGATAGAGATATTAGATAGATAAGATATTATGTAGATAACAGTGTTGACAATCCGGAGCATTAAATAATTGATGCACAGTGCTGAGTAACGAGCTTAAAATTTCGAATTCCTTGTTTCATATAACTATGCAACACTATTTTTGAATGTTTCTCAATTCGGACTTGACTCACGTTGACTTTGTATTACAAAAAAGAAAGCCTTTTAGTTACCTTATGGGACCATGCATCTTCTGACAAAGTTATCAACATACAATCACTAACCAAACAACATACCAACAACACGTTGTTTGGTTAGTGAAACAATGTAGTAAATTGATAGTGTTGGTAAATTACATTGAAAAGTTCACTTTAGTTTTGTTACTATGCAATACTTATTTAATATGTGAAGTTACTTTTAACTGGACAGTGTTGATTAGGTGCTTAACTGTCAGATTACAAATGTTTGCAGAGCATACAAAATTAATGATAGCATTGAGGTGAAATATAACACTGTTTTGTCCATTAATATGTTGTTAGTGTAGAACAAAAGAAAGAATTGTCATAAATTTGAATCAATGAATCAATTCTAAATGTCAAAAGCTTAAAAACTGCATTGTCAGTGTTAGTAAATTGAGTGAGAAGAACGTTTTTCAACACTGGTTTACAACAGGAGTTCACTTGCAATTGTGCATCTATTTAAAACTGATTTAATGTCCATTTAGGCGACACATAAAGCTCATTTTACTTAGTTTACCAACACTCTTTCTTTCTTTCTCTCCACTCGCCCCCTTTCTCCCGCTGTGCAGACGGTCAATGCATTGTCCTATCTGAAGGACAAACACGGCGTCATCCATCGTGATGTGAAGCCGTCGAACATTTTGATCGATGAGCGCGGCAATATAAAGCTATGCGATTTTGGGATTAGCGGCCGCCTGGTGGACTCCAAGGCGAATACACGTTCCGCTGGCTGTGCAGCCTACATGGCGGTAAGTGCGAAGCCATAAAAAAGAAGGATAATCAAATAATGTCTATATGCTTTTATTACTGTTGGCAGCCGGAGCGCATTGATCCGAAGAAACCAAAGTACGATATACGCGCCGATGTCTGGTCGCTGGGCATAACGCTTGTGGAGCTGGCCACAGCACGTTCGCCTTACGAGGGCTGCAATACGGACTTTGAGGTGCTCACCAAGGTGCTGGACTCGGAGCCGCCATGCTTGCCCAGCGGCGATGGCTACAATTTCAGTCAGCAGTTTCGTGATTTTGTCATCAAGTGGTAAATCCCAAGCAATTATGTTGCCAAAGATGCTTGGCATTGGATTACATATGTGTCTCTGTTTTGATTTTGTTGCAGCCTCACCAAGAACCATCAGGATCGACCCAAATATCCGGAGCTATTGGCCCAGCCCTTCATCAAGAGCTACGAGCTGGCCAATATCGATGTGCCCAACTGGTTTCTGAATGTGATCGACTGTGCTGCGGGCAAGCGACTGCGCGCCAATGGCGACTCCACGTTGACGAGGTGAGCCGCCAGTTCTCTATTAAGCATTACCATCCAATACCCGACCCCACTACCAAGCTGTCCCGACCCACTTCAAAACGATAATATAATATATGGCGAACCCCTGTGCCCCACTGCCTGCCTGTCTGATGTTGGCTGTGCGTGTGTGCGTGTATGCGTGTGTGCGTGTGTGTATGTCTGTGTATATGTGTGTGTGTGTGTTTGCATTTGCGGGCGCCATGTACACAACAACGCTTCGTTTCTATATTTGTTTCCGTTTCCGTTTCCGCTTTTGTTTCATTCCGTTACGTTGCGTTTTCTTTTGATTTCTTTAGCTAACTCTGACAACAAACAAAATTTCTTAACAGGTAGGCAATAAAAGAAAAAAAAACCTTAAAAATCTTACAAAATTACAAAAAAAAACCAAAAAAAAAAAACAACAACAACAACTAAAACCGTACCTAATTGTAGGGTGTTTGCTGAAGTTTGTAATATTTCCTGTTTGCTAGCTTTAAAAATTATAAAAAAAAAAAAAATAAAAAAACCAAAAAAATAAAATACATAGAAAGAACTTTAACTTAAATATAGCTAAATCGTTGGCATGTATCTCTGATCTATCCACGCTCACACACTTTTCTTCTTCTTATCTGTTTATATGATTTGTTTAATGAATTAATTTTGGTTTTCAACTTAATTTACAACTATTTTGAGCACAATTCTACTACCTTTTTGCTGCTTAACTTTTGCCTTTACTACCTTTTCTTTCCTTCTATTTTTTGTAACACTTACACCATGCTCGAAATGCACTTCGAATGCACCTTATTCAGGCACTGGCAGGCATTCAGCGAGTTGTTTCATTCCATTTCGTTCCTAACTGGTGTCAGGTATACCCTATATAGTAAAATGGAATTGATTTTATGATACGATGCTTGAATCGATGCATTGTCAGTGCCAACGGGTAGTGCATAACTCTGTATATACCATACTAGATACATATATATATATATATATATATATATTTAGCAGCCCCGCAAGTCTCCCAGCTCTAGTGCGTGCCAAGTCTCATGAGTATGCCACACACACCCCTCTCTGCCCCCCAAAAGCCCTAAAACATAATTATATTACATGAAAAATCAAAAAAAAAAAAAAAAAAGAAAAAAACCAAAAGAATAATTCCAATTCGTTTTGCGTTTCATTGACTATTTAATTTGTGTGTTTTTTGATTTTCTTTTTTCATCTTTTTTATTACCATTTTTTGTAGGTTACTTAATTCCTAATATATACTATTATAATAAATGCAAAAGAGAAAACAAAAAAACAAAACAAAACCAGACAAACTGTAAAACCGATTTAAACCAAAACATAAAAACTTATGTAAAAACAAAAAAAAAAAAACCAATTGATTATAACGAATAATGCGAGCAATCAACTACATATATATATATCGATATATATACATATATATATACACATATACATATATATAAATATATAATAATAATTTATATACCCCTACCATGATATGATATATACACTTATATAAACGAGACAAATGCAAGAAATAAGTAAAGAAATGAAAAGATAAATCAATACAATAAAACTCCTCCCAAATCAAAAGTAAAATTCAGTAAGTACGATCGAGTTTTCTTCTTATTATTATTATTGTTATTGTTATTATTATGATTATGTTAATGCGCATTGATTCATTAATGTTCTTTAAGTTTTAATTACTAATTTGAATTAACATTTTTTTTTTGTGTTCTTTGTGTGTATTTAATAATTGTTCTTGTTGTTATTCTGCTGCATGTTGCTTGGGGCTTGCGGCTTGCGGCTTGCGGCTTCTGGCTTAACATTTTTAATTTCCTTAATTATTTCTTAATTAATTTGCCAAAAAAAAAAAAAAAAAAAAATAAATAATCAAAAAACGACTTCACACATCAAACGAGGTAAATTTTTAGCATTTTTTATTTTCATGTTTCTTTTCATATATTTTTATTTAATTTATTCATAATTTAAGTGTTTGTTGTATGCTTCGCAATTGTGGCGTTCAGTGCAATTGTTTTTGCTGCCGTTTCATTCCATTTCGTTTCGTTTCGTTTCAATGCCACCACATTGCACATACCGCTTCCGTCTATATGTATGTACAAATTCCAACCTTATATATATGTATATATGATGTGTTTCATTTATCTTGTCTTTCGCTTGTTTCATCCCATTCGTTATCATCTCTTGCTTTTTTCGGGCACTTTTTGGTGTATTGGGTTTTGATTTTGATTCTGGGGCAAATTCAACACACCACAATGGCGACGATTTCCTTGTTTCGGTTTCGGCAGCGCCCTCTGGCGGCTCACAAAATTGTAATACCCCTTGAAGCTGTGCGTGGGGAACATAGTGAAAAGTGAAACGTTCTGGCAATCACCATATTGGTTTTAAAAAGTGATCGAGAAAGAGAGGGGGAAGAGAGAAAAGTAGTTGATAGTGTTGATTAGGATAAAAATGAGTTTTTGAAAAGCGTGCGATAAAAAGAGGGGGAGAGGAAGAGGAAGAAAAGTAGTTGATAATGTTGATTAGGGTGAAAATGAGAAATAGAGTTATGGGACCAATTTATTAACTGTACGAACCAAAAATATCGAGTAAATAATATTAAAAGTGAACTTAATACAGTGTGCAACCTTCGATAACTATCGATAGTAATCTTGCTTCGAATCTCTCGCATACTTGATATTTGAGGTATATACATATATACATTTTATTAAGAAGTCAGGCATCATTTACGAGGCTTATAGACCTTGTGATATTCGAAATATAATTTCAAAACATTTCAGAATCGATAACAAAGGGCGTAAGCTATCTTACCTATCGATAACTATCGAATGCATAAAATCATATTAATTGCACTTATTCAGCGTGCACTCTATATAGCGCTCTCTCTCTCTCTCTCTTTCCCACTCTTTCTCACTCTCTCTGTGTCTCTCTCTTTGGTATGCTGCTTTCTTATTTTTCCTTTCGCTAATTCGCTCATTGAACTCATTTATCTCATATATATGTTCCATGGTCCCGTCGAGTCATCTAAACAGTTGCCCACTCGCTCCTTACACACACGCATACACACACATATATAAACATACACACACACACACACACATATATATATATATATATAAACACACACATACACGCCTCCTGCTCTCACTCGCTCGCGCCGCATAGCACTCAACTCTATTTCCCTCTCTCTCTCTCTCTCTCTCTTACTCTCTCGCTCTCTTTGTGTCTGTTTCACTCTAACGCTGTCATGCTGGCGTACATTTTATGTGTGTGTGTGTTTTTTTTTTTTGCACATAACGGGCTTAATAACTAGCTGCAAAAATTAATAAATTAATAAAATAATTACAGAGCGACGACAACAACAGCAGCAGCAGCTGCTGCAGCAGCCGCAGCCGCAGCAGCAACACGCGCCAAGGAAGCTGCCACATTGTATGGAAGAAATGCGGCGGCATTGACAGCGCGCAGTCCAAGCAATACGCAAACGCTTAAGACAATAAAACCCACACAGATTCCAAGCTACCAGCAGGCGCCGAATACGGGTACGGGTACGGGTACGGGTACGCAGTATTTCATGCAATCAGCCACACAACTACCTCAACAACAACAACAACATCAGCAACAAGCAGCAGCAGCAGCAACAACAACGACAACATTAACAACATTGAACAACTTCAGCAGCGGCGGCAGCGGTGGCAGCGGCAGCAGCAGCGCAAGCCCCATGTCGCCGCCAGGCGGTGGCAGCAGCAACGACATCAACAAGCTATATCGCAAGTCGCCGTTCATGCAGCGCAAGCTGAGCAATGGCTCGCACTACAAGTACACGGATGAGAGTCCCAAAAAGGAGTCTGTATTCAGCAGCATTGGTATGGTATGCCGGACCGGGGCCACTTGTGCAGCGACTAACATGGCCCAATTTTTCCATTTTCATTGGCAGGTCAATCGATATTGCGCAATTTGACCACATCGCCGTTCAGTCAAAAGAGACATCAACCGATTGTCACAGCAACAACGCCAATTGCAGCAACAGCAACAACACCAATAGCAACAACAACTGCAACAACAATAACAACACTGCCGCATACTAAAGCCAAAACGCCGACCGAGCTAATGATCACGCCCAAATGGCGTCTGCCAGCAGGGCAAAGATCGTTGCCGTACGACACCTGTGATAGTAGAATTGATAATGTCAGCGCCCTCGGCTCGCCCACGCTGCAGCCCAAAAGCCTGATAACAGAGCCAACGATACCGACAGCAACGACGGCAACAACACTGCAGCTCAACAATCAACAACAACAACAACAGCTGCAACAGCAACAACAACAACAACAACAACGCCTGCAGCCTGGCAATCAGAGTCCCATAGGTGAGGGGCGCTGGGCATTATCTTATAAATATGTATATAAAAGAGGATTCGAATCAGCTTTCTGTCTTAAGTTACAATTTGTGTCTGGCTGGTTGTGGTTATATTTAGCTTGCATTATGTTAATTTAATTAAGAATTTACAAATGGCCCCTTCTGTTGAAAATATTGCTTGTCGTATATATTTTCGTATAGAAATCGTGGCCTAAAGTTGGGCATTTTTTTAAACGTTCTTTTCAAGTTTTGACAACAGAACAGTAGAAACTAAGCTGTTATTTCGAGTTTGAACCGGCAACCTTCATTGATATGTTCATGTTTACTTTATATTTACAAAGCCTATAAAGTCCATTTGTATATTACGTAATAATTGCCTGTCTGTTCATACTGAAGCCTTCTGTCATGGCAAAGACTTGCTGTTAATTGTTAATAATTGCTTAACATGTCCTCCATGTTCATTTTATGTTAGAATTTAATTAGCTGTCCTTAAGTAGCGTTCATTATTAACGAACATATTATTCTTTGAATTAGCCTATGCTTAAAAAAGCTATTCAAATAATCTAGCTTACATGTTCTCCATGTTTATGTTTTGTTGTCCTGCTCCATTCATGGCATTTCGAAGCCTTATTTATGCATTAATTTCAACATTATTGAGCATTTGTTTGCCTCTTTAAACATGTCTAATTACACATATATAATGTCTATGTCTTCCATGTTCACCTTATGTCAGTCCATTGCAGACGCAACTAAAACTTTATCGCTTCATCAATCATCCTCATATGTTCCTTAACAATTTATCTAACTCTTCAGCGCATATATTATATAATTTTTATTTTGTTATCTACCTCAATTGTCAATTGTATTCAAACATTGTCTAATTTTCTATTTCTCTTACTCTGTTTGCCTCTCGCTCTTTGCAGTGCTGCAGCGTTTCTATCATCAGCAGAATCAGCTACGCGAAAAGGAGGCGGCCGAGCGGCAACAACATCATCAGCAGCAACATCTGCAGCAGCAGCAGCAACATCAGCAGCAGCAACATCTGCAGCAGCAGCAACATCAGCAGCAGCAGCTGCAGCTGCAACATCATTATCAGCCGCTGCCGCAACATTATCACTTTCATCAGCCGCCGCAGACGACGCCAGCGCCAGCGCCGGCGCCTCCGCCGTCGCGTCCTGCGCCTTTAATTGGCACCAGCACGAATCCGTTTCACAGCAACTATGTGGCGCCACCCTCCTCGCACTCCACATCTAGTCAGTCATCGACGCAGTCGACGTGCTCGCAAATAGCCATCGGCGCAGCGCCAGCGTCGCCATGTGCCACAGCAGCTGGACACTTTGGCGTCGGCAATGCGACGCAGTTGCAGTATCAGCCGCTGCCGCTGACACCAACGCCAACGCCAACAACAGCTACAGCAACAGCAACAACAACAACAACTAGCGACAACATTTTCTACAGCAGCTTGCCCCGTAGATCACCAGAGCAACTGCAGCCGGATTATGTCAGCGGCAGCGGCGACGTTGGAGGAGTTGGTGGAGGAGCTGTTGCTGCTGGTCTTCAGGTGGGCAGCAAGCTGAGCAAATTGTATGCGCGTCGCCAGCTAATTGGCCAGACGAGCAGCAGCAGCAATAATCTAGATGCCAGGGACAAGCATGTGTACTCCAGCAATGCGGATGCGGGTGAGTGGCAGACAAAATTCTGCCTGATTTATTTATCTTTTTTTATGTTAACAAAATTTTGTTCATATTTAAGTATATATCTACATACATAGATAACGGCTTGTCCCGACTGACTGACTGATCGATGTACAGCTCAAATTCTTAATATACTTACCTAATATCATCTTGGGAAATTTCACCCGCAAGTGTGAAAAATTAACTAAAAACCATTTAATGCAATCTTTTACCCATCGGCTACAAAGTTATTCTCAAGGATATCTTTCAAAATTCATTGGAAACGTGTTTTACGCTTCTCGCAAAATCCACCCGCTTGGGTGGAAAATAGGCTTAAAATTGGGCAGATGGAAATTTATGTCAGACGAGTTTCACACTTTTCGCCTGGGTGGAAAACTGTGTTGAAATTTTAACGGGTAAATTTTATGTATTGAAACATTTGGATATTCGAAAAATTTATGTCAGATTTGTTTCGCACTTTTCCCAAAATTCACCCGCTAGCGTGGAAAAGGGGTATGGAAATTGGGTAGTTTAATTTTTTGGTTCAATTCCATGTACTTGGGAATTCATGTCAGACGTGTTTCACACTTTTCGCATAAACCACACTTCTGGGTGGAAATGAGGCGTGATAATTGGACAGTTAAATTTTCTGTTTCAGTTTTATATACTTGCAAAATTCAAGTCCGACATTTTTAAATTGCGGCCGATCGGTTTTAAACTTATTTGAAAGCTTTATGTTTTCTGGCGTATTAGGAAATTTCCCCTGAAACTGTGGAAAAAGGGCGGATTGTATGAAAATTGTTTGTTTACCATTCGGTAGGCGTCAAAGTTATGTTCTTGGATAATGCATTTAAAACGTTTTTACACAAAATGCATATTCTTTTTTTCAAAGATGTCTTTCAAGCAGATATGAAGTCCACCCTGCAGCAGTAAAATGGCTGTTAAACTTTAATTTTTCGCTCTCTTTCGATCGTCTTTAAAGCTTTTTTTCGTATAAGTTCACACGGGCGGGAAATGGGTGAAAAGTAATATCTAAAATTAAAAAAAAAGTTAGGTACCGGGCAAACTTTTTTTCTTTTTCTGGAAATTTTTGTTACTTGCGCTTTGTTTTTTATTTCTATTATTGTTTTCGTTGCATTTTGCGCTTTTTCTGTGGCTCTCGACTAATTCTTTCGCTCGCTTGTGCTCTTTATGTTTGTGTTCTTTCTCTTCGTTTACACACACACACACACACACATATATATACGCACATGCTTATACTCGCACACACACGCACAACTCATGCACGCTCGCCCGCACCACATACACGATTGCACTGCATCAATCAATCATCAATCAACAAACAAACAAACAAACCCTCAACCGATCGATCAATCAGGCTGGTTCAATACAATCGCCGGCGCCATGAAGCGACAATTTGCGACCTATGTTAAAACCCAATTGAATTCCACAGCGACGGCAATGCCAACGCCAACGGCAACGGCGCCCAATGTCAATGGGAATGAGCAGCTGTGCGGCTTGGAGCCGGCGCTGGCGCCGCAACCACCGCCTCCGGCTTATCGCAGCATTATTAACAATGGAAGCAGCGGCCATGCGACAGGCAAATCCTATTACTATCGGACGCTGTCCGCGGCGAGCAGCAGCAGCAGCCACAATACCAGCCAAAGCACCTCACCCACCACGGAGCCGCTGACGGGCAGCGGTGCAGCCGGCGTTACGGCAGCCTCTGCCGCTGGCCATGTGCTCGCGACGAGCGGCTTTTTGCGACGTTATGCCAGCAGCGGCGGTGTGGCCGGCGGCGGCGGCGGCGGCAGCAGCAGCAGCAATAGTACACCGCCCAGTCCTCATTTGCTGGCCGGCCTGGATAGGCGGCATCGCAGTCCGGATCCGCCGCCGCGCTACAATCGCGGCCAGTCGCCGCTGCTGCTGCGCAAAAATCTGCTCGAGCTGAGTGGCCAGCCGCCGGGCTCACCGCTGCTGCAGCGACGGTAAGTGTGCCGCATCCGCCACAACTTGACAACTATTGCAGCCGTTCAACTAATCATCTAACATCATTCAAACAGCTATGTCTCGGCATCGCCGCCATTGCCGCCGCCGCGTCGCGGCTCGGAGAGTGTGCCCGGCTCGCCGCAACATTTCCGCACGCGCATCCACTATACGCCCGAGCCGCAGCGACGCATCTATCGCACCATAGATCAATGAGTGGCACTGCAAATAATGGTCATGTGATGTTGGTATGGATTCGACGATGATGTGGCGCCCGATGAGCCGGCAGCTGCTGGCGACAGCTGCAGCACGGCGACAACAACAGCAGCAGCAGCCACAAACACAGCAGCACCAACAGGCGTAGCACACAGACGCTCGACGCTGGACTTGTAAAGCGACAGCAACAACAACAACCAACAACCAACAACCAACAACCAACAATCAACAACAACAACCAACAACAACAGCAATCGAAAGTGTTCAAAAGTCGTATATATAACATTTAAATTTTAGTCCGTAGCTAGGCTTTGCGTTGTCTTTTAATGTTAATTCAGCTAGTTCACAAAATGTTTCTGTTTTAATTTATAACAAAATCAAATTTTTTTTTTTATTAATTTAATTCTTAATTGTGTGTGTGTGTGCGTGTGTGTGCTTGAGCGTGCGTGTGTGTGTATATAGGAATTGTTTTAGGCAACAAACAAAACAACAATCAAGTTAAAAATTGTAACTGCAATATATCTAGCCATATATCCAGCATATATATGCATATATAGCGCATACATATAACTGAACTAATAGCCAAAATTGAACACTGTGCCCTATATAACTATATCTATATACATATATCTTTATATATATGTCTATAAAACAGCTTTTTTCTTGTTTACATATGCTCGTATATAGTCGCATATTTATATAGTTGTATATATGGTTAGGCCCATGTATTCAGATGCTGAGACAACAATAATAGTGCAATAGTTGAATTTCTCGAGCAACATTTGATTTGAGCTTTTGACGTAGCTCTATAAACATTTGATCTAAACAAATCTAAATAGTTAAATATCTATGTACTATATGCAAAACAGATGTATAACAACTTGATCGGCACGGAATGCCTTTTCATTCATATCCATAAAAAACAACACATATATACTATATACTTGATATATAGCTCCGTTTATTTGTATTATTATGTATTATTTGCTTTGTTATAATAGAATTCTATATAAAACAAGTTCCTTACAAAATACTTACCATATATAAAACACAAGAGCAGCAAAAAACAAAAGTAAAAACTCTAAATGATGAATGGATATTGAAGTGTGAATGTGTGTGTGTGTGTGTGTTAGTGTGTTTGTTTGTGTGTATTTGTGTGTATTTGTGTGTGTAGCTTGGCGACCTCAATGTTTTGTTCCTGCGCGTGCATAACAGTTAAAGAATAAATTATTTAATTATAGCCCAAAAACTAAAACGAAAACAAATACTTTCAAGCCTATGCATAATTATAAAATTGTATATAAATTATAAAGAAAATCATATATATATATATATATATACATATGTTTATATATTTATATATATGCATGTATATACCTATATATAGTGTGCAAAAAGGGTATGTTGCATTTGCTGTTTGAAATAGAAAACCAATTTAATTTCCATATATACCTTTGTATGATTTAAAATTGAAGCGGAAAGAAAAAAATCTGAAGAGGAAAAAAACACCATTTATTTGTACGTTAATTTATTGAAATCAGATAAAGCAACAAGTATAAAAGTAATAAATTAAATGATGTATTTCGACTGATTAATGTGTTAAAGTTAAGGCTTTTTGGACTATATACTTATGTATGTATATGAATGTGTATATGTGTGTGCATACATATATATGCGCATCAGTCTGTGTGTCTACCTTTTAGTTTTACTATATTCACATGTATGTGCAGTATATGTATATAAATATAAATATATATATGTATATATATGCCTATATATATGCATATATATATGTATATATATGTATTTAGATATACATATATGTATAAATATTGTAAAAATTATATAAATGATGTACGTTGCGAGCATTAAACAAAGTAAATCAACAAAAACAATTGAATGTAAACTCTTATGAATACCAATAATAATAATAATTATAATAATAAATGTAATAATTAAAGTACATAATTCAAAAATTCAATAAAAATGAAAATAGATCTTAAAACCCTCAATAAAAAAAAAGGAAAACAAATGCAGTTGACTTCATTTGGCTTAGACCAGTAAGATAAATACCTTGATAATTCACTATTCAATTCCAAACATTTCATATTAATCATCAATCAATTTAATTTCAATATCATTGTTTTTGTTGACCCATTAGTTAAGCAACTGTTTTAGTTTTAGTAGCCATATCAAAAGACTAATATTTCCTATTAAGCTCTTAGCATTAAAGTAGTCAAAAGACTAATGCAATACATTTTTGTCTCAATTCACATGGTCCCAATTTCTATAGTTCTATATAACAACAATTCCAATGCCAATTGTTTCTCTAAATTGTATTTAGACTGTTTTGAAGACGGGTTGAATTCCAACTGTCCCCTCATTAATTCAGATTCTATCCATACTAATTCTAATCATTACCCACAACACTTAACAAATTAAGCAATATTCTAATTCCAATTCCATTTCTGTTCCAATTCCAATTGTTTCTCTAGTTCTGTCTACCTGAAATACCGCCAAAATTGAACAATATTCAAATGCCAATTGCATATCTCCTTAAATTTCATTCATGTCTTTACTGCTGTTCCAATTCCAATTGTTTCTCTACTTCTGTCTATTGCCTGAAACTTCCTTCAAATCATTTGACGCCTTTAATACTGTTCCAAATCCGATTGTTTCTCCAATTCGATCTATTATCCGAACGTTAATAATATTCAACAAAAAACACAATTATTGGCTTGTTTTTTTTTTTTTTAAAGTCAGTTTTATTTAATGTATATATATATATATTTCGCAATGTGTTCCATAAATGTCGTACAATTGTTTTATATCCAGCATATTATATATAGCATAACTTTTGGCCGTAAACAGACAAAACAAATGATGTACACCCGAAAAATGTAGCCGAAATATTTAAGAGAGATTCCAGAATCAAGCAATGGAGTTCGGGTCCATAAAGGAACGACTGCTTATACACACATACATATATTCAAATACATATATAATGTATATAATGTATATATGTATATGTATATAAGTAAATTCTGCGTATAAGTAGTTGGTGGCATACGAGCAAACACATACACATACATATATCGGAACATAGTTTGGATAGATCAATTTAGATGCTGGCTTATTGTATAGGTTGATTACACATACATACATACATTAGCATATATAGCATATTGTTGTACATTCATAATATGTATATGTAAACTTAATTTTATAAATAATTAGTGTCGAAACGCACCGAACCTGTAGCCTGGGCCCCTCAGGTCGGCGCAATACATGTATATAACATTCATATATGGAGTGTAATCATGTTGTATATAGTATAAAGTTGATGTACAAATGTAAGGTCGTATGAGTTTTGAATGTATGCAATGTTATTTAGCTGTCAATTACAATATTCAATTAGTTTGATAAGAGTATTCGGTGTGCTTAAGGGATATCTATTCGGTTTATCTTGATTTGTTATGGTATACAATTAGATGAGCTCAAAAGGAGTCGCACGGCATTTAACACTGAGTTTGATTAAATTATGTTTTGTATTTTTATTATTTTCTTTGCTTAACTCCATCAAAAAATTCGGCTACTGCATGCTCTGTCCCTGTTTCTGATCGGATATATGTTCATATATATACATATATATGGACTATATGTTCATTTAGTTTTCTCAGATAGAACATGCCGAACTTCGGCAAATCCGAAGTTGTCTTTTTCATTGTTTTCTTTTTACTTTTACTTTTACTTTATTTTTATTTGATTTGTTTTATGTTTTGCTTTAAAGATATCAAGAGTTTATATAGTATGTACTATGAGTTAAATCTTTAGATTTTTGGTTGTAACACAGCACGGCACAAACACTTAGAAACACTTGTTGCAATTATGCAAAATATTGTTTTGTTGTATTTTTACTTTTGTTTTTTTTTTTTACTGTATTGTATGTAAATATTTTCGTCAGCAGCGTGGCTTGCCAATGTACTTTTTGTAATGTGTATATATTCAGTTGCCGTTTCTCCTAACCTTTGAAGGGTTTTCTTTTAAGTATCTTAGCTAGTATTAGTATATTTTTATTCGTTTATTTTTATATGGTTTTTTTTTTTTTTGCCTTCAGATTCAATAGTTTGATGACTGTTAGCGCAAAAAAAAAAAAAAAGAAACAACAAATTTCTCCAAACTTTTGTTTGGATTTTCATCGGTTTAATACCAATTGAAGTGGCTTCTTATGTTCTATTTCACACGTTCCTTTGCTGTCTTATGAATTTCTTCAGAAATGCTATACGAATTACGCTTTGTTTAAAACTGTTTCATTTCAAGTGCTCCGTCGAACAAGTATTTCAACTTGTTTATTGCACAAAAAAAAAAAAAATGTCTGCTGCATGTTCCGTGTCTAGCAAAAGTTCACGTTCCTATGTTCTATGCGAGTTGTTCTATTTGCCATGTTTCCTAGCAAAAGTGTTGCCTAATGTTTCGTTTTCCTATTTCCAATTTCTGTTTCATGTGTTCTTTCTTGTCTGTATTTACTGTTGTTTGTATTTATTTCAGCAAAAACACTGTTTCAAAATTTTAGTTTTTCTTTTGTTTTTTGTGTATTTTTTTTTTTTCATCTACTGTTAATTCAACTGTTTCGTTTCAAGTTTTTTGTTTGAAATGTTTTGCAATTTTCAGTGTTGGTTAATTTACTTGTTGTGAGTATAGTTTTCTGTTATCTGCTTTTTGTAGTTTACATCAAATTCAGCTATTATTTGGGCTGAGGTGGAATAATTCACACGCACATTAAACTAGATATTGGATTATGTTTTATGGTTATATTCAACATTTTGCACATTTAAAGCATTTTCAACGTCTGTTTCGGTGTGTATTTTAACTGGTATTTTAATTGGTATGTTCTTTTGGTAAGTTTCTTACGGATAAGTGTTTTTAAGCATATGCCCAGCGCTGTGCTGGTATATATGTATATGTATATATATATATATATATATATATAGTAAGTACATATGTATACATATACTATATAAACATTTTGTTAGGTATGCATGTATTTAATTTTGATATACACATTTGAACCGTTAAGTGAAACCCTTTTTGAAAATGCTGCCGTTACGTTATTTCATCTGTTTTTCTTTGGTTTTCAATTTGTCACAAACATATATATGTATATATGTATATATGTATGTATATATATATAAGTATATTGTAGATCTGTATTTTTCTGTAGCTGTCAGTTATTATTGTGTAGTATGACAAATATGCGGTTAATGTATATATGTATATATAGATAGCACATTTATGTAGGTGTATATATATTAAAGAAATATGCATATTGTACTTAGTATTTATGTAGTTACGACATTTTCCACTCAAGATGCCTGCAACTGAAGGTTTATTCTATTTTATGGGTATTCTGTGTAGCTTATGCACATTTAAAATATGCAGGAGCGGCATCAGTCAATAGCTGACAGATTAGTCAATATTAATGCGATAGTTGTGTTTAACCACACAAATGCGTATATTTATATGTTCCTGGTAAATTTACCAGCCACCTTGACATGCTTGTGTTAGCTTGGTGGGCGGCTACGCTACCAGTTGCAACAAGACACAAAAGCGGCGCCTAGTTTTAAATCATTTATAAAACTCTTCAACTTGCGTTGCCAGCTAATCGACATCTGATCTTTGGTCTGACAGGTTGACAAATTAACTGCTAATCAAGTAACATGAACTCTTCAATAGGTATATATATACATATCTATATATCTATGTGTGATATTTCAGCTGCTGGATAACTAGTAACTCTTAAGGACAGGCAATGGAATCATTTAGCGGAACATTAACACATTTTCATTGTTTAGATGTAGTATTTAGTATTTTTTTTCTGCTTGTGTACGGTATTATTATTGCATAGGTACAACGATAACTATTTTAATGCAAGTTAGTTAGTTAGTCAATTGTATTTGTTAGGTACAGTAAATGTATAATGTATATATATATATATATATATCTGTAGCTAACTCAGTTTTCAATATATTCTTGTTGGTATTTGTTTATGTTGGTTTTTTTTTTGATATTATTATTGTTAAAAAAAAAAAAAAAAAACAAACGCAGCCATTCAATCAGTTTGAGAGTTTGTTTAACATTTAAATACATATACGAGTGTGTAAATGTATGTCTATGTACATATATATCTTTAGGTTTTTCTTTTCAAGGTTATGCTAGGTTTTTTTTTTGGGTAATTTTCTTTGGTTTTTCCAAAAACTTGGTAGAGCTTACATTTTCAATAATATTGATTTAAAAAAATTTGTTTTTATCATTTTTCTTAAGTCTTTGTTTTACATCAGTAAGCGTTTTTTTTTTGTTTGGTTTTCATTTGGGTTTTTTTTTCTTTCGGTATGTTTCGGTATGTTTCGGTATTTTTCGGTATTTTTCGGTATTTTTGTTTCTTGTCTTGCCAGTATTTCTTTGGGGCTGTTGTGTGTTTACTTTGCTTACATTACATGTAAATGCCAAAAAAAAAAAACTCTCTTCTCCCTGTCTCTCTCTCCCTGGCATATACTCGTACTATACATACATAGTTACAATAGGTTTTATGTATATGTATCTCTGTTTAATTGTAGGTAATACTTGGTAGAAAATGTTTTTTGCTTTATTTACTTTGCTGTTCATTTAATTTTGTTGTTGTTGTTTTTTTTTTTTTTTTTTTCTTTTGCTTTCTTGTCTTGCGGGGTGAATGTAAGAGTTAATAATGTCAGCTTCGATTTGGATGGTTCTCTTTGTTCGGCTTCTCAGGGCGCTTACGAGCGGTGGGTTAGTAGCACGCACACACACACACACACACACACACACACACGCACACATCCATACGCACAAAATACCCTTGCAGTATTGTAATTGTTAACGAACGGTGAGAATGGAACACCAAAAAGTGTTTATTATGTTCCTTTTATGGACATTTTGTAATCTTTAAAGAAGTATATTCAATATGGCGCAGCTGATGGCAGCGCATTTATTAAGCGGAATGCGTGAAAATGGAACACCATATTATTTGAGTTAGCCAAACAATGAGATAATTTATTGTTGGGTTTGAGAAGAGAAAACTTTTTGAATCCAATATTAGCTAGTTATGCATTGGAAACTTGTACAAGCTGGCTGCAGGTTATTTATTAGGTGGAATTTGTGGAAACGGAACACGATATCATGCGGATTGTTTGGAAATAACATATATCTTTGGAACATGAAAAGGCTGTTGCTCTTTGGAATATGTACAAAAGGTTGGAATTCGGTATTTAGCATAAAGTTACAACTATATAGAAAGATATATATATATATGTATGTATAAATATATTTGATGAGAGCTGCAAGAGTATTGCAACTTCGGCTAGCCAAAGTTTGTCTGTTCTCTGTGCAATTTTGTTTTGAATTTAGATTTGTTTTTGTTTTTTTTTTTTGTTTTTTTTTTGTTTTCCAATTTAATAACGCCTACCGCTGCCGCTGCTGCCACTGGCACAGCCGCCGTCGCTGCTGCCGCTGGCGCCGTCGGCGGCCCAACGCTTCCGCCTTGCCTCCTTGGCCGCCTGCATTTGGGCGGCAACGCGGCTGGTGCTGGGCGCCATATCAAAGCTGGCGTACAGCTCCACCTCGTCATCGGTGGCGTCGCGCGCCGCCTGCTGCTGCTGTTGTTGTTGCTGCTGCTGCTGCTGCTGTTGTTGTTGTTGATGTTCGAGGGCAACGGCAACGGAGGCCATCGCATAGGCGCGCGCATCCAATTGGAGGGTTATGCCGCTCGCAATGGTGCTAGTTATGGTGCCGCCGGCGGCATTGGGTGTCAACAGTCCGGCGGCGAAGTCGGGCGTGCGCGCCATTTTTGCGTTGGTTGCGGCAGTGGTTGGGGCTAGCGCCAGCGGCTGTTGATCCAAATCGAAACTCACATTCTTACTGTCTCATCCACCCCGGTGGACTTGCACGGTGGCCTCGGCGGACTCCTGCTGTCGCAACTGCTGACGGTACGCATCCAGCTCGGGCATCCGATAGGTGCCGAGATTCACCTGCACCATGAGCGTCTCCATGATCCGTTCGTTCTTCATTGACTTTGATGGCAACACAACCGTGAGCAGTTCGCTGGGCGAGATGCGGCACAGATTTAGATCGCGCGTCAGTCGCTCCATGATGCACTCAAATTCGAATTGTGTGTCCTTATTGGGATGATTCTTGAGCTTGGCAACCTTGTGCTGCGCCCAGGCGAGCATCGCCTCAAATTTACGTATCTCCGGCGTTTGCAGCTCCCGGCACATTATCATCTGCACCATCGATTCGGACAGATGAAGGAATTCGGGGCATTTGAACAGCGCATGCGCCTTGCTCTCCACGAACGACAGTATCATGTTGACCAGCTCGGAGGCGGATGTGTAACGCCAGTAGTAGTTCTCCAGCGAGATCAGCATCGGGCAGACGACCTCGATGCGCAGGAACTGCTTGCAGTGATGGAAGCACGCCTGCAACAGCTCTGGCAGATCATAGTGCTCCGCGGCGCAGAGCAGACCTACGAAAATGCCACAGAAATGTTTCAAAATTCGAAAGGGGATCTGTGTCAAAAACATTTACTTTCACTTTCCTTAATCCATTATCTATTTTCTATTTCACTTGCTTACACTTGCATTCTATTTATAATATTCAGTGGGTGCAGTCGATACAAAAATGTGTTCCTCTTTTTTTTCTCTTTCTTCTTTAATTCGTATCAATTCCACTTGTTCCTTCTTTATCAGAGCAAGTTGTCTCATATTCTTCCTATTCCCCATAAACTTCCCTGTTAGTACCTGTATTTTCTCATATTCTTCTTACTTCCCATACATTGTTTATATATTCTACTCGAACTTGTTCTTATGGACTGATTCTAACAGTTCCCTGTTGTTACAGCGCTTAGTGCCCATGTTTTTCATATCATTCTTATTCCCGATTAACTCTATATTCACTTTTGCTATATTGTACTTGAATTTGTTCTGATACGCTTCTCATATCCTTCTTATACATTTTCCATGCATGGTTTTATTCCTTTTTACAATATTGCACTCAAATTTGTTCTTAGTCTCTATGGTCCGATTCCAACTGTTCCCTGTTGTTATGCCTAGATTTGTTTATTGGCCCTTAGTTCCTTTACCTACTTTTATCTATATTTTCAATTTCACTTGTTTCTACTCTTTTCTAATGTGCTCTCTTTCTATGCGAAACGTTCCAGCTGACACTAACGTCGGGTAACGGGATTACATTTTGATAGTCATACCTTACGTGAGGGCAATACCACCAAAATATTCTCTGTACTCGCATATGTTTCAATTCCAAGCGTTCCCTTTTCAACTTTTTTCCCTTTTCAACTTCTTTCCATGACGTTAGGATAATAATACTACTAAAACGTTCTCAGTTTTTGCATATGTTTCAATTCCAAGTGTTCTCCTTTCAACTTTTTCCATTACGTTAGGGCAATACTACTAAAACGTTCTCTGTTCTTGCATATGTTTCAATTCCAAGTGTTCCCTATTCAACTTTTTTCCATTATCATTGATTTGCTTACCTGGTATCGAGACACAGGTCAGTGGACAGGTGCCCGTGTGCAGATAGTCCAGGAGCACACGAAACGTATCCGGATCGAATTCGATAATGTTGAATTCCGTTTGGGCTAGCTTGGCCCGGTCCACCTTTTGGGCGTCCGCGCAGACGGAGAGCCGGGGCATGGCCAATTGATTGTTGCCCGGCTTGTCCTTATCCTTGTCTTTACTATCTCTGTCTGCCAGGTTTGGAAGTTGATTTTTTTTCGGTTTTGTATGTTTTTTTTTTTTTTTTTTTGGATTTTCGGTATTTTGGTATTCGGTTGTCGTGATATTTTTTTTTTTTTTTGGTTTAAGGTGGTTTGTTGACGCGAAATTATTAAATTAAACGCAAATGAAAATCATCAAATTAAATATGAATTAAATTTAATTGCGAAATTAAATAAATGCGGTCAGTATTGCGGGTGGGAATATCGCACGGTTTTCAAAGAAATCAAATTCCAAATAAATAGCGTTAATTGATTATGGTGAAGCGAGAGAAAGAGGGAGCGAGAGACGGGTGTGGGGGGTTGGCAGTTGGGTTAGCGCGTGTGATGAAAAATGACAAGAATTTCAATTTTTGTTTGATTAATTTAATGAAATTTGTATTTGTATAATTTGTATTGTTATTAAATCAATTTTAAATATGGTTTGAAAGAGGTAGATTGGGAAGGAAGAGAGAAAAGAGAGAGAGAGAGAGAGAGAGAGAGAGAGAGAGAGAGGGTGATAGTTGCAGTGTGGTGAATTATGCAAATTGTTTAGTATGTTCAAATTTTAAGAATATCAAGCAAATGCGATACGTTTTATTTTATAAATTGATGGGCAGTTCGCATGTTTTGCGGTGGTGAATATGAAAGTGGTGAGTATAGGTTGAATATAGTCAGTTGCAGTGAGTGAGTTGAGTACGGTCTTGGAAGATATGGATGGTGAAATATGGATGATGATGTGATATGTGTTGAGTTGAGTGATATTTCGTATGTTCGTGGTGAGTAGAGATATGAGAAACATGTGCGTTCGAATTCCATTTGTGCAGTATTATTCAAAGTTTAGGATAGCAGTGAAAAATTGTTGAGTGAAAAATTGTTGAGGATATATTTAGTGGGAAGCATTGACGGAAATACGATATGTGTATGATAGTTAGCCGATTAGAATTCCAATTATGGTGGTGGTGAGTTCAGAGAGGTGGGTATGCATTAAGCGGTTGATACCGTTAGCAGGACACGTCCAAGGTATTTATGGCAAAGAATGCCAATAAAAAGGAAGCATATAAGCAAAATAATTGGCATAAGTAAGATAAAAAAAAAATGTAAGAAGTTATAAGTGTTGCCGGTGGAAAAGATTAGGAATGCAACACAACACGATGAAGGACAAGGACCATAACGATGATCCCGAATGCGGTTTACACAATTTACATATGAACAATTTACGCATCACATTATAATATATGTATATATTATATATGTATATGCGTATATCATATATGGAGTACGCAGTTGGGTTGTTTGTGAGTTAGTTAAGGCGTGCGACGTGCGTTATTTGCGATTTGTTTTCGTTGTTAGCCAAGTTGTTAGCAAGTATTAGCAAGTGGTAAAACAGGCAGTTGCGAAGTTACGTAGTACGTAGGAGCGGAGCCAAGGCGTTATTTAGTAGTTAGTGGGTGAGTGTATATTACGAGAATCAGGTACGTTTAAAAGAAAGAGCCCAAAAAACGGAGAAAGACAAAAGAGAGAGAGAGAGAGACAAATAGAGAGAGAGAGAGAGAGAGATCGAGAGAGAGGAAAAAGAGAGAAGGAAAAAAGAACACGCATCGATATTGTTGCATTGCATTGAATGAAAACTCTTACTCGAACAATCTGTCGATGATATCCACTTCTTTTTATCATCCGGATTCAATTGATTCGTATTCTTATTCCGTATGGATCGACCCCAGCCGGCTGTGATCGTGCCAAGGCGCGAGAACGCACGCTTAACCATCGGCGATGAGGGCACACTTTTGGGTCGTATGGAATCGGAATCCGGTACGGTCAAATAGTTGTTACTTTTCGGCTTTTGATTCTGTGGCGAGACCAGCGACGGCGCTGGCCGGGCAAAGATCTCGGCAACGGGTATCTGCGGTGATCCAAAGCCCGTCTGTATGCCATAAAGCATTTCCTATATAACAAAATTCCAAAAAAAAAAACAAACTCAAATCTTTGAATCTGACCGTTGACAGTTGAGGGCCGCCAAAGCATTACCTGAAAGACGCGACTGCGCACACCTAGAATGGCGCGTACCCCAATGAGACGCGCCTTCTGCTTGGACTGGCCCACCAGAAAGACCACATCGAATAGATGGGCATTTGTGAGGGACGATGGTTCGTCGTTAAGAAATACACGCGTAAAGTCTTTGGCCAGCTGGTCGTAATCCTCGAACTGATCCCTCACCGAATCCAGCAGCGGTGACGATGGTCGCATGTGGCCTATGAAAAGAAAGGAATACGTCAAGAATTTAATTACAAATATATGTGTTTTGGGATGATATATTATGTTAGGAATTATGAATTATGATATATATATTTAGAGAAACATGCTGTTCTATATTCTTATATGACTTTGGCATGAAATACATACCATTTGTACATTCAATTTTTTGTACAAATTTGTACAACCTAAACTAGAAAGGAATCAAACTTAATCTCACAGCTTGAAAACCAGTTCAACAAAAGAAGCGTCTAAGCTGAGCTTATAAGAGAGCTACAAAACTATCGATAAACCATGGGTTTTATCGATATATTATGGAGTAATGTCTTTGACATGAAATACAAACCATTTGTACATTCAAATTCAAGTACATTTCGTTCTTTAATATACCTTAACTAGATAGGAATCAAACTTGATTTCACAGCTTCAACAAAAAAACGCCTAAGCTGAGCTTATAAGAGAGCTACAAAACTATCAATATACCCTGGGTCTTATCGATATACATATTATGGAGTAATGTCTTTGACATGAAATATATACCATTTGTACATTTAATTTCAAGTACACTTCCTAATCGAAGCTCGAAACTAGCTCAATAAAAGAAGAGTCTAAGTTGAGTATGAGAGCTACAAAACTATCGATATACCCTGGGTCTTATCGATATATTATCGAGCAATGACTTTGGCATGAAATACAAACCATTTGTACATTAATTTCAAGTACACTTCCTTATCGAAGCTCGAAACCAGCTCAATAAAAGAAGAGTCTAAGTTGAGTTTATAAGAGAGCTACAAAACTATCGATATACCATGGGTCTTATCGATA